TTTACACATGTACACACATATGTGGATAAATGATAGTATAGTAGTGAAGCCTTATGGAGAGTTAAAGAGGTAGAAAGCTGCTCTGGTTTCTAGATTTCTGGTGGAAAGGGTGATCTAAATTGAGGGAGTAAGAGAGTGAGCCTGACAGGATGCCCAGTTTGAGTCATAAGAAAAAGGAAGGAAAACTGAAGCAACTAGTTTAAAACCTTAGAATTCTTATTTCTCATAACACTTAAGGTGAAGTTGAGGCAAAATGCCATAATCCAGCTTTGCGCAAGTCAATCTGTCGGAAAACCTTTGAGGTTTAGAGATAAATCTTACCAATCTCCGGCCTACCTTAGTGACTTTTTGGATACCTCACAGCCTGTGAAAGGATCAGCTGGAATGATTGTGGTCAGAGCTGTAGTGACGGGGACAAAACAACCCAGTGAAAACTCCACAAAGGAAAAAGTAGTGCCTCCAAGGTGGTGCCTGAGTCCCCAGGCTGCTAACACGTCCCCCAGGGCTAATAACAGGCAAACTCTGAGCGAGGGAACTGCTCTTGGCCGGGTGGGCATGAAACCAGCTTTGCTTCTGATTCAGTTCCGTTTAGAGAGTTTGGATTGCTAGTTTGTAATTTTTTTTTTTTTTTTGAAAAAAACACACGAAACACTGGTTTTGGTTTTAATGAATGAACCATTTTGCAGGGAAGGGGAAGAAATGAGTTGTGTTTGTTTTAGGGGGGAGGGAACTTTCATAGGGAAACCTTGAGAGCAAGATGCAGATGAATGGATGCTGCGGAATACTGAGGTTAATAATGAGGTGGGAACCATCCTGTGGAAGTGGTATTGAAGGGTGGCTTTAAAGCATTAAGGAGAGCTGAACCAAGACTAATTTTCTGGCTTTAAGAAAAACAGTTCCATCTTCCAAACATATCAGCTAGACTATAGGCCTTATACATACAATCTTGACAACAAGAATGTGAGGACTTCCCCTTGGGCAATCAGTTGTGTCTATTTTTTGGCATAGATGATCTAACAAGTATTTTACAAATGTTGATTGGACATCAGCTTTGTTACGACACTTTTACAAAGAAAGAAAATACATATTGCCTCCATCCTAAAGGTTTTTTTGGTTCCAGTTGGGAACCAAACCTATATACATAAAAAGGGAATTTGCATAGTCAGGGCAATGTAAGTTTGGTGTCAAATGTACAGTGCAGACAGCAAAAGGGAACAGAACTGAGCAACCATCACTGAGAACGTTCCGTGGAGGAAGGGGACAAGTTAAGGACCCTTGAGGAGCTCACAGTCTAGTTATCAGGTTAAGTAACAGTTGAACACAATAATAAAAGAAATGGTACTCAGCACAACACAATGCAGCCATCACACTTCTTTAAGGTATTCAGAAAAAGAAAGCCATTGCATAATAACATGAGGCCAGAGTGGAAAGGGAAGGCTTTTAAAAATAAAAATCCCAGTAAGACCTTGCCTCTGGGTCAACTATTCCTGTAGGGAGAAACTTGCTTTAAACAATCCTGATGTGACTTACGCCTTTAAACCTGAACTGGTCACCTAGACGCTTGGCATTTGTACATTCCTCAGAGAAACACTGACAGTATTCCAGTTCTCACCCCCACCCGCCCACTGTGGGGGCTCAGCCTCGGGGTCCTCCCTGCACCTGGAGTGTGTGTAGCCGTTTCACTTCTGTAGGGGCCTGCTGGCCTCCCAGGGTTCACCTCAGGGTGTGCACATTAACTCGTGAGAGGACCTGAGACACACATACCAAACGAAGCAAAGGGGCAAGCAGGAAGGAAAGCTCTTTTTGGTTTTTTATTTGTTGGTATATATAAATAAAGAGAACACCTATCCCACTGCTGGTAGAAGTTTAGCTTTGGTTGATAATAGGGATCCTGATGCGTTTTAATAATTTTGGTTTTCCCTGGATTTAAATAGCATCTAAAGATCAATATATTGACATTTTAGGCAGGTGTGCTATATTTTTATTTCTCATTCTCTAGAAGACTACATTATCATAGATAAGATGTCGGAATCCATTGTAGGTCTTTAAAAAAAAAATCCATGCTCTATGAATTGAATTGAATATTCCTGCCACTTTATAGATTGTGTCATTCCTACTACCTGAACTACTGTGTTCAAAGTTTTAAAGTATTTTTAAGACCATGTACTTAGAACACTTCTCTATATCATCCTATCTTATACATATAATCCTAATAAGATATTGTTTGCTTCAATCGTCTATTTCCTTTTCCTGCCAAGTTTTAATCTGTGCTATTAATTTAATTAATCACACCCTCTAGTCATGCGTAATGAAAAGGGAGATTAATATTTGTTACTGCATTTGTGCCAGGTACTGTACTAAACCCTGATAGGTAACACTAATTGTTCATGCCTCACAACTCTGGGATCTAAGTATTGTTATAAAGACACTAAAGAAAAGAGAATAAAATTACTTTCCTAAGATTGCATAGGTGGTAATAACAGAACCAAGATGTAAACTCATGTCTTCAGGTGCCATCATCAGTGGTACTTCCTCACTGGCAGTGGTTCTCAAACTGAGGTCTGGTTAAAAGCATCAGCATCGCCTGAGAACTTGCTAGAAAAGCAAATTTGGGGGCTTAACCCAGACCTATTGACTCAGAAACAGTAGGGCACCCAGCAATCTGTAATAATACCTCCAGGTGACGGATTTAGCTGAAGTTTAAGAATCACTTCTGAATGCCAATAATTGTACCCATTTTCTCAGGTTAGAATTACCTGGAGAGCTTATAAGAATTCCGATGACCGGGCTGTATCTAGGCCAATTCAATACAATCTCGGGGTGTGGAAGTCAGGCACCATAAAATAAAGTTTACCAGGTGATTCTAGTTACAGTGTCAGTAAAAAAAAAAAAAAAGCAAACCCAAAAAACAAAAAAGCAACAACAAAAAACCACAAAACAAAAAATACTCTGGCATTTAAACCTAGACACCATTAAAGTTACATACAGACATGGCTCCAGCCAAAAATGAGAATTTCACTTGGGCCTTTTTATTTTCTTAAAATGGAAGCTTATATTGCAATTTTCCCTCTACTTTTATTAAAAAAAATACGTTTTTATTGATTTTTAGAGAAAGGAAGGGAGAGAAAAAGAGAAATATCAGGGATGAGAATCATTAATTGACTGCCTCTCCTAGGGATCGAGGCCACAACCCATGCATGTGCCCTGACTAGAAATCAAACTGGTGACCTCTTGATTCCTGAGTCAGCGCTCAACTGCTGAGCCACTCTGGCCGGGCCACTTGGGCCTTTATAGAGCCCAGCTCTCTGTGAGCTTCTGCCCAAAGTATAGATGTGGAATAAGAAGTGGAACATTTTTTGGCTTCTGTTTTGCTAATGACTGATCAACCTCCAGCAAAATGTCATAGTGTTTCAGGTTGTGCATCTATTAAATCAGAACCAAACTGTAGAACACTGGAGCAGAAGGAACCAGAAAGATTCTAGGATGTATTTGTCTCAAAGATGAGAACATCAAGGCTCAGGGATATGAGCTAACTTAAACCAGATCACACACACACTTGCTTTGTTGCATAAGTGCTCTTTCTGTCTCATCTTTATGTCTTGAATGTATCCACTACATGAACATATACAAAACTCTCTCTCTTTTTTTTTTTAAATCTCAATCCACTTCTATCTTCTCTCTGGGTCTTAAATAAAGACCAAAGGAACTGATTGACTACACAAGTGTGTTGCAAGCTTCATGCATAATTGGGAGATGCCACAGAATAAACTGAGAAAGATCTAACATCAATTAAATGAGCTCTTCTGAGACTAATTCCAATAGTTCTAGAGAAGTATGTTTTTTGACATTGGACATCGTTTTTGTGTAAGTAAGCAAATTAAGATATAATTTCATGTGGAGCCAATAAAGATTTTATTCTAGTCAAATCTAATCACACTTACCTTTGTACAGATGAGGGTTTTCTCTTCCATCAGCAAATGAGTGCATGCTGGGTGCTGAAGATACAAGCTAAGATTTCATTATTGGAAAGTGGTGGAGTATTTATTGGTGATGTTGATGTTAAATTATTTTTCTAACATTACCAAGAAGCAGAATATTGAGTTATCAAACTCTTTACCTCTCAGCTATAAGTTGAAAGGTGATTATGATCTTGGGTGAGCCCCTTTTGCTGTTTCTCTGCAAATCTGAGAGACCAGCATTTACATTCAAAAGGGCAATTGTGATCCAAAGGGAGCCAGTATTTTAAAAGGAATTCTGTTCTGATTGGAACCAGGTTCTTAACTGCCATAAACTCTTGCCTGATGTTGATATTTATATTTGGGCTACAAAGCACCTAATCTCTTACCTGATGCACTTGATGATAATGTAATCCTATATAATAAAAAGCTAATATGCAAATCAACCAAATGGCGGAATGACCAGTCACTATGACGTGCACTTACCACCAGGGGGCAGATGCTCAACGCAAGAGCTGCCCCCTCGTGGTCAGTGAGCCAAAAGCCGGGCTCATGGCTGGTGAGCGCAGCTTCTCCTGCCTCCGTGGCAGGGCTAAGGCTGTCCGACTGACGGACATCCCCTGAGGGCTACTGGAGAGAGGGTGCAGGCCAGGCTGAGGGACCCTCCACTCCTGAGTGCACGAATTTTGTGCACTGGGCCTCTTGTAACATATAAGAATGTATTGCTGTGCCTAAGGAATCAAGTTATACCAAACATCAGGTCTTGTTTCTCTAAATGTTGTCCTTACTGTTCATGTTCTTTTTGCTGAGTGAAAAGGGAGAGGACTGGATAATGTTTTCAGATGCAAATCGATCATTAACAGAGTCATGTACAAAAGAACTCTGTAGTTACTGTAATTATTAAATGTATTGACCAATCAGGAAAATTGAATAATCCTTCTTAGTTTGCAGATTGGCAAATGGAATCACACAACTCCATTTTAATTCTGTATCTGCAATGCTGATTTGAATATGAAATTCTTACTACTGGTTATTTGTGCATTTTACCCCTGGGCCATATTAGTTCTTATAAAATTATTATCCTTATGAACCTTATTTTATTTTGCTTCCTTTCTACTTTGACCCTAGTGTCACATTGCATGCCTGGATCTAAATAGCAAGTAGATGCCCTATAGCATCTTGGGAGATACACGGGCATAAAACTACTTCTAGGAAATATAACTACAAATTAAATATGTTAGTGAGGCCATCAACTGGATGATAATTTCCTAAGCTTTGCTATTTGATACCAGATAGAGCAAATGAGATCCTAGTGTATCTAACTGTACCTCACTCAATACTGGCATCTAATAAAAACTTGTTGCATTTGTCAGTGATCTTTATAATTTTTCCACCTTATTTTGGAGATTATTGAATTTTTTTTCTTTTTGCCAACTTCTTAAGAGTAGTGCCTCTGACAAAACAATGGAAAGAGGAAAGAAAACTCTAAATGATCAATTTGAGGCTTATCTTTGACTAAGGAGATAAGGAAGGGCACTATCATGTACCACTATTAACTGGCTAACAATTATTGAGCTCCTTTCAGTATTTCAGCTACTAT